ATCAGCGACGTAAAATAGTGCTCAATGGATTTTTTTGTCGATTGTTTCTTGTTGATATGTTTTCGTATCTGCAATGTCATTTTACGATACGATTTTACGATAAAGGTGACGAAAATATACAATTGAATTTGATTCAGGATTTTTTTCGCAAGTATTTGGGAACGTACTGAGTATTCGGTACGCACGTCAGGTATGGCAAAACAACACTCCTGTGATGTTTTCCTGGCGCACACGTCGGTATAGCATTTGCAGTACCCGCTGCTACTTGTGGGATCGGATTCAACAACATCACTATGGGCAAGCGCGGTAGTCTAGTGGTTATGACACCACGCTAGTTTTCTGGAGGTCGTGGATTCGACTCCCACCCGAATCACTTGCGAATTTTTTTCGCACGTATTTGTGAACGTACCGAGTATTCGGTACGCACGTCAGGTATGACAAAACATCACTCCTATGATATTTTCCTGACGCAAACACACATCCAAATAGGATTTGCATTACCTGTTGCTACTGAGGGATCGGATTCAACACTAGTCACTATCAGAAAGCTCGGTAGTCCAGTGGTTATGACACCAAGCTACCGTAGTTTTCTAGAGGTCGTGGGTTCGATTCCCACCCGAATAACTTGCAAATTTTTTCGCAAGTATTTGGGAACGTACTGAGTATCACTCCTATAAAATTGAAATTGTGGATAATTTACCTTCCAACACCAATACAGTAGCGATGATGACAAGTACTATAACTATCAATAATCCAACGTTGATGAACGGCTTCTTTGGGAGTAAGGCTCTGTCGGACGTCTTGGTGTCAGTTTTATATTTTTGTGTTGAGTTACTCTTCTGTGTAGGGACATTGGCTTTGGCATTCTGACTGTCCATTATAATGCATACTGCATGTGATTCTTCCACGTCGTATATGCTGGAGTACCCCTCGAATGAGATACCTCTAGCCGTATAAGAAGTCATTGTTAAGTCAGCTTCGTTGAATGATGATACTTGTTCTTAAATACGAAGACGTTTACGTGAATCTACCATCATGAACCTTCAGACTCGAATAAAAATTTGCTGATTAATGTAATGAAAAAGTAGAAGTAGACCTATATATACCCTGGATTAAGAACCGAAACCTGTATTCCTCACATTTTAAAAAGTTGATAAAGGTATAAAGTTTCGGGAAATGAAGTATTAATATGGATAGCATCGCATCCGGCTACAGACCTAAAGCATAGAAAGTCCCAAATTTTCATCACACTGCTATTTACACTACCTCTAACAATTTTTCCTGCTTTTATTATATATGTAATACTGGTATTAAATTGTGTGGTTTTTCAAGTTTCATATTGTTTTACAAAAAGGTGGAAGTGTAGATAAAGACGATAGGCTGCCTTCATTGTTATCCAATGTCACCTTTCTCTTTCCTTATAGGCCTATATCGCTTTGTTTATGTTTGTCAGTTTTCCTGGTTTCAATCTTGTGCTTGGCCTATAACCCAGGGTTTTGGTTGTGTATCATCTTGGTCGAAAGTGGAAGTAAAATACTGTGTACGAATTTATCCTTCAACTCCGGATAGGCCTATAATAAGTTTTTAGTAGGCCTACTGCGCTCTCTAATAACCGATTTCCCCCTGTTGTGTTTAGTGGGGACGCAGCTGGTTGGTTAAGATGCTTGCCTTCTAGTACCAGGACCTTTGGTTCAATCCAGATAAAGTTTTCCTGACCTCATAAACTTTATGTAAGGCATATTTTGTAATGGTTGTCTGGTAAGAAATAATGTCCCCTATGAGTAGACAGGTCTCTATTGGTAATCATTGGCCCATGTGACTATAATAAATCAATTGATTCATTCATTCATTCATTAGGCCTATTAGCATTATCACCATCTGTCGTTCCCACTCCACTAACTAATTATATTGTTCTAAGGTAAGATAACTTTAAGGTATGACTTTAAGGTAAGATGATTTTAGAAAGTTGATTTTCCGGTCTTCATTAAGACGCAGCCTTAGTAAGATGAAGTTTGAAGGGAAATTATTTTTTTACTGTTTAAAATACATTTAAACTGGTTTCCCTAAAGTCGCGCTGTCGCTAAATCAATCGTTACACTACATGCTGTCCCCGACACAGTCGGGGAAGCTCCCGATTCGTCGCCAACGCAATCGGCAAAATTAAACCAATTTCAATCTCCCCGATTTATATAGGCGATGAATCTTAACCATTGACCAATCATCTGCCGAATTCACTACACGTCATAAACTTCTCTTCGATTTGTAAGATACTGTGCATGTATATAAATAAGAACTGTGTATTTCATTAGAGAACGTATTATTGATATATTTACATGAAATGACAATAAAGGTGGAAAACACCCACAAAAGACAAAAAAAAAAACTTCTCTTCGACGAGCATTAAACTTGATTATTTTTTTCGCACTAGGATGTCGAATTTCGACATTTCCGTTGTTTATGAAGAGCGATATAAGACTGTTTAAAGAGGAAACTAATGCAAGAGCCCATGTTTAAACGATAGATTGTTCTGTACTGTGAAGCCGTGGTTTCCATAAAATTGCTATTTCCACGTGCCCAACGGAGTGGGTTGTGGGGGTTGTGGGGGTTGTGGTGGTGCGGGGGGGGGGGGCAGAATTCTGGGGGTTGTGGGGGTTGTGGTGGTGAGGGGGGGCGGGGCAGAATTCCCAACAGGAGCGTAATTGGTCCGGAACCAGTAGTATCCAAGATCACCGAAGAGGGTCCAGGAAGAAGAAATAACATTGGAAGCTCTGTCAGTTTAGAAATTTGAACGGCTCTTCACTCGAATCAATTAGTTCCCGAGGCCGGAGGACTCAGACCCGCCTCCCGTCTTACTGGCCACGCTGTTACAAAGAACCTCTTTTTAAAAATTAGTTAACAGAAAGTTTAATTATTCTATTAATGTTTATATATAATATTAATGTCACTGTTAACCTTCAAGAAATATTTCGCAATTTTGCTTAAAATAGCTAAATATATGTAAGTATGCCTATAGTAAACTTATAGTTCTAAGGCCTAAAGTTGCGTGTATTAAAACGATGTAAGACACTTACTGTACATTTTGACTATTTGGAGAGGTCAGATTCGTTAAGCCTACCATTCAGAGCCACATACTTCCAGGGATTCTACCGTTAGTACATGTTCGTCTAAAACCAATTGCATCCGCTAGACAAGTGAAATCAAATCTAACTTACAAACAGGTAGGCTATATAAGAAAGAGGATGTTTTATGACGCAATATAAGGGAAAATAATTTGTCAGAGTGTTACTCGCCTTATGTTAAGAAACAAAACAAAACTTTTCAACCCACAATAATAACAGTAGAACTGATAATTAAAATACATGAAGGCCACAATAAACGTGTAATTGGACTTTAAAAATCAAGAAAAATAAAGTTTAGTCAATGAACTAGTGTCTTCTTTAGAACGAAACTGTAATACGTCAAAAGCAATTCGATAAAAAAAAAAAAACATTTACCTTCAAATAGTTTTTTTTCACAGCGCATCCTTTAACATTATCAATACATCTGATATGCGATAACGTAAGTTACTGATCATGTGTCTATTGTTTTAATATCAAGTAAAATAAATTTTCTCTTCTATTGTAAGTATATACAGTACATGTTTTTCATAATAAATGATAACCTCGCATTAAATGTGCACATTTACAAAACTATCATAAATGGCTAAAGAGTATTTTTGTCTATAATTAACAATGATTTGTTGTTTCTGGTGTTTTTATTGATCACCAATCGATTATCTTTTTTATTAATTTTTATTGCGCCTTGCATCTTTTGGCAAAAGGCGCGGTACAAGTTCCTGTATTATTATTATAACGCCATGAAATTCGGTACACATTATTATAACATATTATTTTGTCATTCCGAGTTGGTGAAACATGGATGACGGGGTGAGCCTGAACAAGCCACGGTTGGTTGGACGACGTGGTTTCACGAAGAAAGAAACACGACGATGCGCACGCGATAATCCATTAACAAACAGCAGGCGATATCGCGTCGTTAAGCGCTTACACAGAGCGAAGTCGTCGGTCGGTCGGCGCAGTGTGCGCGCGGCTTGCGAAATTTTGTTTTCCTGGACGTTTGAGGCAGTGGAGATTGGTGGCGGTATAGATTCAACGTAACTAGAGTTCCTATATAGGAACTCTAAACGTAACTAACGTAACGCCTCCTTGATGCAATGAATATTTATAGAGTTTCCTGCCGCTGTTTTGTCGTCCAGTGTTAAGCATATATCCAAGGCTCGAGTAGGCCTACCATGCATCATGCAACACCGACTATTCTTACGTGTAGTAGTCTTCTTATAATGAAGAGTATGGTTGAACGCCCACAGACTTGAACCCTTTATTATTATTATTATTATTATTATTATTATTATTATTATTATTATTATTATTATTATTATTATTATTATTATTATTATTACAGAACATGTCTATAAAAATAAATAATAATTAGGCTATTATCTACAAAATTATTAACAATTTTACGGCCTTTATAAAACTGAAATGTGTTTCACTTGACGTAAATGCACAAGTATATAAACATACGAAATGATGTTTGCCCTACCTGACGCGGTATAGGCCTATGTACGCCCACATTCTTAGTACATTCTTAAATACTTGCAAAAACAATCTCGCAAGTGATTCGGGGTTTTTTTCGCAAAATTATTTGGGAATGTACTGAGCATTCAATACTATACCACGTCAGGTAGGGCAAACAACTTTATCATTTATCCTGACGCAAAACGAAAGGTGGAAATAGAAACTCTTATTTGATAGTGAAAAATACAGAAATATATATGTATGATCTGTGTAGTAGCAGACAGCAAATGCATCTTAAGAATACCACAATAAAATTCAACCTCAATACCACATAGGCACAGCCTAAAGAATTTTATTATCAGTTTTGTAATGATTTAAATATCAATTTGTTTTTTTCTTCATTTAAAATTAGAAATATGTTTTCTGTGAAAGATCCTGTCCCTAGTGGTCTACGTTCTAACGTTGTGTATAAATTCACGTGCGCAGGCTGTAATGCTTGTTATATATGCTTGTTATATAGGCGAAACTGGCCGACACTTTGCAACGCGCGTTAACGAACACATGACCACGGACAGGAACTCGCACATTTTTAAACATCCTAATAGCTCATCCCAATGTAAAACCTCATGCAACGAAGATTGCTTCCATGTATCGTGTTCCGCTTCAACAGCCAGCCAAAGAAAAATCAAGGAGGCGTTCATATAAAATGAGACACGCCCTCTCTCAACAAGCAACTTTTACATGTTAATTTAACTTTGTCATTCTGATGTTCATCATTACGTTATCATCTTTATTCATGCCATTTTTTCTTCTTTACAATTACAGTCAAATCGATTCTCTAAAAAAGTGCAATGTCATGATGTCTGTTCAAATAGCTATGGTTCAATTCCCATTTATTTAAAATACAATGCTTCACAGTTGTTCACTCCCTTTAAATAATAGATTGCATGTTAGCAATCGTTTCACATGTCTGTTTTATAGTACCGAGTTTTGATAATAAAATTCATTAAGCTTTGTCTATATGGTATTGAGGTTGAAAATTATTGTGGTATTCTTAAGATATATATCATACATACATATACATATGTGTGTGTCTATATAGTAGGCCTAATAAAAATAATAATTATTATTAACACAATTATAATGTAGTTGGTCTTTTGTGTATCCGAATAAATATTTAGTATTATTGTGTTTAAGTTAAATTCCACTTCACGGATAATGTATCCGAATTCATGAAGAAACACACAGTACTGTAAAAAAAGATCACAGTAGGTAACATGGTAACATTATAATTAATTGTAAAAATTATCACAAGTTGTTTGTATTTTTTAAGTTATGTTGATGCCTTAGAAAACAAGTCCCATTACCTTATATTAGCAATGTTGATACTGATAATATTGGTCGTCATCATCATCATTATCGTCACCGTTGGTATTAGGCTTAGGCCTATTTATTATTGTCATTGTCATGATAATTATTAGATCTATATTACTTAATACTGTACTTTACTGCATACGTCAAATAGGCCTAAGTACATTTCGTAGGCCTATTTATATTTTGGTATGCGTGACTGAGATACATTCCTAAAAAATACGGCCTAGACCTAGACTTAACTGTAAACAGTATTGTTTTGTAATTATAGCCTAATCATTATTCATTTGAAAAATAGGCCAATGTATTTCAGAATTATAATAAAAGGAGAACTAGTATGTGGTGCTCAACACTCTTCATCCTCGCCATGTCGCTATCGAATCACATGTCATCAGCACTTTCAATTTCTGTGACAGCACGACTAAAAACAACCCTACTCATTAAGCCTATAAAAAGACTCCGCATTTCATTATAAGAGGGCCCATGTATAACAGCCGACCTTCTAGGATACGCTTAAAGCGTCACCCTCTATAATATAGTTTAAATAAACTGTACATAAAAATAAATAAATCGAGACGAAATATAATAACCATAAGCCAACAACTGTCAGGGGTGTAAATATCGTGTTTTATTAATCAATACTATTTTCAACTACTCGATAATAGTCAACTTATCAAAGGATGGAATTCGATCACGTGATAAAGTAATTTTCACATCACGCTTTTAATATACAGTATTTGGTTTAATAGAAAAGGCAAACGTTTAAAAATATAAAACCAACAACAACATCTTAACCACAAATCTAGATTCAGAGAACATTATGAAGTCGACGATAAACCAATTCTTATTTACATTATGAGATTGAATAAAATACAAAAAGAGCGTAAGAATTGTCACCGTATGAAAGCGGGTACATAATTTATACAGTTAGTTGTGATAATAAGGTTTATGAATTACAATAAAAAAAAAATCAATTAAATTTTGTAAATTATATGAATAATAATTGTTATTATTAGACTCTGGATGATTGATCCCACTCTTCATGCAAGGGAATAAGGAATTTTTCAAGGAAATACGTAAAGTGTTATAAAATAACTGAATTTTTTACCAGTTTGCAAATAAAGAAATTTGCACACTATTTATTAATAGTTCTTCTATTTACAACTCTTAAGGGATAAACCGATGTAATAATAACTTCATGCCTATCATTTAAATAATAACAAAAAATAACATAATAATAAATAATAATAATAATGTAATATCAACACATTAATTATAATAATACGCCATAATAAAAAAGAATCAGATGTAAAAGATTAAAAAAACTATATGTACATTATACGATTCTACAAAATACAAAAAGAGATTAAGTAAGCATATTTACCGAAAAGAAACCTATTATTTGTGGGTTTCCAAACATAAAATATTTTAAAGATATAATGAATATAATATGATAATAAATTATCATTATGAGCTACACTCTTCCGTCCACAACAGGAACTGTACGAACCAGCTACTCGTCTCGAAAGATTCACTGGGTTATTTCTGGTGCACATGAGCCAAATTGTGTATACTGAGCCTACGGTATAGTCCTTATCCGAGAAGACTTGTTACACCACCAGAACTATAGCAAGCGTGCCGTTCGAACCAGCGCCGATATTATGGCTGTACGTTGCGCTCAGTAACTATTCATTTACATCAATGTCTTCATCTTCATCGGTTTAGTCAGCAAAATATCTTTCGATACATCACGCAAAATTGCGCGTTGCGTGTTAATAAGCTAAATCCCTAACAAAAGCTCTTAAGTGTATGTATGCCTATTGCTATTGTTGGTAACACAACATAAAGCTCTATCCACTATGTATTAAACACAAATTATGGGTGAATTGCTCATCGGTATGGGTATTATCAGCCTAGCCTAGGCCAGCCCAGCCAAGCCAAGCCCAATCTGTGTCATGATGTGTGATAGTGTGGATATTTTTTTTTTTTTGGTTTGAATCATTTATAGAAAACTATAAGCATATACAGTATATTATAACATATAGGCCTAATACAAACGATTGCACATTAGCAGAACAATATTACGGAATACAACACCAAAATATCCCAAATAAAAGAACACATTAAACGACCAGAAACCCATACCCATTTAATAATATACAAATCCAAATTTATAAAAAAAAATACACCATCACATATTCCCAGTCACACAGACACCTTTTACGACAAAAACGTATACACATACAAATACACATACTGTAATGTCATAAGACGGATTGTCACCAATTTAAATCAAAGAAAGGTTAAAAACTGATATAGACCTCATTTATCGGGCAAACATACGTACGCTGTAATAGGCGATATGCATAGAACCATAATGATAAAGTACAAAAGAATGGGCAGTCAATTATTTCAATCTTATCAAAATCCCTTTAAATATTTTTTCATTCAACCGTCGAATTGCATATTAATATCCAAGTTGGTTCAGCGATACCTGCAAGCCGTAAGATACAAAAACCAAAACATACAAAAAACGAGTAAAATATTTTCCCATAAGATTCCAATTAAGTCCACATAGTTAAGGTGTCAACTCTGGAGCATA